CAGCAGAGTACAAGTATGGAAGTCAGGGGTTGGGTCAACTCCAGCCGGAGCAGACTTCTTTGGCTCCTGGCTAAAGCAAGCACTTGAAGCCTCTTTGCTTTAAAGGAGGCTATTAGCTGGGCGTGGCGGCGCATGCCTGTAATCCCAGCACTTGGGAGGCTGAGGCAGAAGGATTCTTGCAAGTTCGAGGCCAGCCTGGGCTATATAAGTGAGCTCAAGGCCAGCCTGAACTGCATAGCGAGACCCTGTCTCAGAAAGACAAAAAAATAAATAAATACATAAATAAATAAAGGAGGCCATTGTGTCAAAGGAAGGGGCTGTACTCTCTGTGAGCTACGTCCTTGGATTAAAGTATGGTCTTTTCTTAGTTTGATGTTTGTAGGACAGTCCCACCTCCAACATCCTTGTGGAACTGCCCAAGAGAATTTTCTAAAAATTTAAATATAAGAATGTTAGCCCATCAATTCCACTACACACACACACACACACACACACACACAGAGAGAGTAACACCCTTCAGAGTAACATTTGAACCCCTTACCTGGTATTCCAGACCCTTCAGGGACTAACTCCCGCCTACCTCTCCCACTACCACCTGTCCACAACCACAAATGCTTACAACAAATACTTGTAATGACTCCAAAGTGTCGACTGTCCACACCTCTGTCCCCATGCTCCTTCCAGCTCCCGTTAGCCCTTTTTTCTTTCTCCTGAGCCCCACCGCCCTGCACAGCTGCACAGAGTGCCTTCCTTGGAAACTCCTCCCAAAGTCCAGTAGATGAATATGTCCCTGCTCGTGTTCCCTCTGTGTCCCTCCACTTCCTGTCCCTGCCTCATGGACCGCGTTTTCTACCTGAGGCCCCTCCCTGCGGCCCAGGGGAAGCGGTAATGGCGCCCTATAGGAATTCAGCGTTGCGATTGCTAGCACAGTGCTTGGTACAAAGAGGGACTCGAACGTTCCTTTAATGAGTTGAATGAGTGGCTTTCCAGTACGCAGCTGATTATCAGAATGTAGACAAGGCCTGAAAAGTTATATTGTCGTACCATATCTTATGTCTCCATATTTCCCCATTCCCATTCTCTCTCCCCCTCTGAGGTAACTAGTGAGATGTAAGGGACATAGCTGGAACAAGCACATTATCCTTAGAGGGTTTTTCTGGAAGGAGGGGTTCTTTTTAATGCTGAAGATTGAACCCATGGCCTTTCCCCTGAGTGACAGCTCCAGCCCATTTTTAAATTATGAGAACCATATTTCAGTGCTAAGAAGGGTAAGTGGGCAGAAGCTCTCACCAACTTCTGCACAATGTCTGAAGGATTTCAGACTCTGAGCTGAAATTCACTGATGCCCCAGGTCATCTTCTGCTTGAGACGCTCTTCAAACATGCCCCTCCCTCACTCCTCTGTCCCCAGAATGTGCCATCCCTCCTGCTCCACATCGTGGAATGTGTGACCAAAATCAGAGCCTTTATCCTCCCTTCTTAAATCTCTCTCTGTAAATCTTACCTGACCCAGGCCCATCGCTATGTTCACTCAGTACAAGTGAGGGAAGGGGTCCTACGCACCATTCCCTGCCCTCAACATTGGAGAGAAACCGGCTTCACAGCAGAAATCACCGATGTTCCTCAGATCAGCTTCTGTGTCAGAGCTGAGCTCTGCCTCACCTACCAGAAATGACTCTACAGGAATACTTCATCCTCTCGATTTCAGAGTGTTATACCACTGGGCTGGCCTCCTTTCTCAGGCCCCCTTCTCGGACTTTTTGTGGGTATCTCTTTTTTCTTCACTTTTTCTCACCTCTTTCCTCTGCTCTTTTCCCTCTAAACTTGGTTTTGAAAACTTCACCACACACAAAACTCTTAAATCTATATATCCATTCCTAATCTACAAAACTGCCCATCTCATTCTCTCCTGAGACAATTTGTAGATATCTCACCTATATGTCAAAAACAAACTCATTTTCACACCCACCAGCTCACCCTCTATGTTTCCGTATTTGGGTTTTTGTCTAGTGTTAGGTTTCATGCTGCCAAGGCCTCACCTACCAAGGGAAGGAGGCTGCTTGCTGCCACTCTTTTGCTCTTGTTGCTTTTGCTGTTTTCCACTGCCATAAGCTGCTGCCCTCTGCCGTGTGCCACTCTGCCTTGGAGCCAGCTGAGTATAGGCTGAAACCTCCACAAACTGTGAGCTAAATAAACCTTTCCTCCTTTAATTTTGGGCCTTGGGTATTTTGTCTCAGCAAGGAGAGAAAAGTAACCAAGAAATACACTAATCAGTTGATTCCTCAGTGGACTAATCAGTGGACCAATCCACTGAGGAAGCCACAGCTGAATGTGCTGTGAGGAAGCGAGGCCTGGTGACAGGCAGGTCGCAGGGGCGTGACCAGGAAGGGTATGACTCCCTCCCCACTTCCTCCCTGCTCTTCCTGTGCCGCCATAATGTGAGCAGCTTTCCCCTACGATGCCCCTGTGCCGTGCTGTTTCTTTCTTGGAGCCAGCCAGCTATGGACGAAGCTATGAACCAACATAAGCCTCTCCTTTAAATTGTGGGTGTTGGATATCATGTCTTAGCAACAGGAAAGTAACCAAGAGATACTGGAAGTATGCACCATCCCAAGTTCTTTACATATTTTATTCGCCTCAATCTTTCTAAGTTTGTGTCATCCCAATGTCCATTTTACAACATGTGAAAATGAGGCTTATTCTCTCTAGAGATTAAGTAACTTCACTACACCATACTGTGGTGTCCTGACTTGACCCCAGAACCTCTAATGCCAGAGCCCACCAAGCCGCATGGCCCCCCACCTGGGGTTTTCTAAGTCTTCTTCCTTTTCTTCCTCACTGTATCCTGTGCCTTGGCACTGCCGGGGAATACTCCTGCGACAGGGATCCGTGTTTCAGTGCCATGCTCAAGGAGGAGGGACACCGCCTGAGTAGGTATCCCAGCATGAGCTTGCAAGTAGCAGGTTTGCAGTCTGCTCCCACTGCTTCTCTAGCAGCTGGCCACCTTGATTTCAGTATCGCCTTTATCAGAGGCAAGTTACTCCCTCCACCAGCCCCAGCTCCTTAGCCCTCGGAACCCTGGCCGGCCTCCCATTTCTCCTGTGGAAAGGATGGATTCAGACATTACAGCTCCACAGTGGCTTCTGTTGGTTTTTAAATCCAGAGTCTTTCTAAACATTTTCACAACTTCCTCCGTCTAATTAATCCTGTTGCCTTCGGTGTGCTCACACCAAGCAATCCTTGCAGTCCACTGTCTTCCTTCTAACTTGTGAAATTTAGCTTCTATTTTTATTCATTTCTTCGTGCACTTCTTCTCCTAGAGATGCCTTCAGAATGACCACTGCCTTTCCAAACTACACTAGTTTTAAAGACTCATCTCAAATTCTATTTCTTCTGTAATTCCTTCTTTTATTATATGAGTCCTCTCCTTTCTCAGAATTCTTGTTAAACATATAATCTGCCCCACATCACCTAGCTATCACTATAATTTTATTGTATGGAGTGCTTTAGGTCTACACAAGTAGGAGGGCATGGGTCTTAGTGTTTTTTGTGCTGCTGAAACAGAATACCTGAGGCTGGGGAATTTAAGAGCAGAGATTATTTCTTACAGTTCTGGCGGCTGGGAAGTCCAAGGTCAAGTCAGGGCACATCTTTGCTGTCATCCCATAGTGGAAGGCAGAGGATGAGTGTATGAGAGAATGAGAAAAAGAGAAGGGAAGGAAGCCAGCCAAACATCCTTTCATCAGGAACGCACTCCGCAGTTAGCACCCTGCCCCAGGGACAACAGTCAATCCATTCTTCAAGGTGGACACTCGTGACCTAATCACCTCTCAAAGGAGCCACCTCTTAAAACTATTGCAATGAGGTGAAGTTTCTCTCAGAAAAACTTCAGGGGAAACATTCAGACCACAGCAGTATGCTAACGTGGTATTTGTCAGAATCAAGAGAAAGTCTTCCCCCAAATCAAACGTGCCTTACTCTTAAAAAGACCAGCCTGCAATTCTTCAAATGACATTATTCATTTCGAAAAAAATATGTAGACGCTTGATCCCCACCTGCCACCACTTAGAAATAGGCATTAGATGTGACTCGTGTGTTAGCTTTGTCTCCTTAATGAAATCATACATTTCTAGAGAGTGGAGGCCACGCCTGTTTCTTGCCTCCCTTTTAGCCCTACTGATCTAATAAGCAAATGGCAACTACTCAGTAAGTACTCCTTTTATTAACTCACTGATAATTTTCAATGCAGGAGCTCTGTGCTCAAATGTTGATTCTTCTGATGTGTTTATCAGAGACCAAAGGCAAATGACTTTAAGACCAGGAAATCATTTTCCTTATTTTGTTTATATAAAATAAACAAATATTTTTCCACATCTTTCAAATACACTACTAAAACCTATGCTGGTGGCACATTTTGAACACTGGAATTCAGAGACACGTTTGAAAGAGTTAAAAATCTTAAACAATACCAAACAGGTCAATCCCAGGTAGCTGGGATGCAGGCGCTTCTGAATTCTAAGGACCTTTGCAAATGTAGAAAAAGTGTCTCAATTCTGTAGGACTGTTTGGTCACTCTTCAATTTGGTGTGGCTATATAAGCAAAACTATTTGCTCTCCTTCCCTCTCTTTATTGTCATAAATTAAAATTCCAAATTGTTCTGGTAAACACTTTGGCACTGACTATGCTAATGCTAAGCCTTTTATTTCTTGCCCCAAATTGAGCTCCACTCACCACCACAAAGCTCAGTGCTCAGAGCACATAGCTTAGTGTTCTAGCTGACAGACATTACTGTGGCTATAGCAAAAATGAAGTTAATACAGTGAGCCAATTTGGAGGTATGTCCATAAATGCTTATATACGTGAGGGCTCAAATTCGGAGTGCAACTATAATGTAGGTTCAAAAGCATTAAATAAAAAGGGTCTACATAAGTACTGAAAATGTGACTTGAATAATTTATCATCTTTGAAGAGCTTATGTAAACTATTTTTCTGTCCTACAGTGACGAAAAATGAAGAAGTTAAAATAATTATGGTGAAACACTACAGAATAGGTTTAGATGAAAAATATGAAGTAACAAAAAAGTGGTCTTTGAACGATCTGCAGATGATTGATGGAAAAGAAGCAGATACTGTAAGTGTTACATTTTATAAGGGAGATATTGGATTGACATGCTGGTGCTGCTTATGTTCAATAGCCTGTTTCATATGTTTTTGGCATGTACTAAGTGTTAAGGAAACATATTATTCTTAAGCAGTATGGATTAATTTTCTGGGATAACCTACTGGCTTTTTTTGTTCTGCTTTTATGAGTTTAATTTTGAATTTTGCCAATTAAATTTGAAAATATCTTCCTCAAGTTCTCTTAACAGGTTAAACACAATCTACCAGGCAATTCTGAAAGTTTGAATGTCACATGACTTTCCTACCAACACTCTCTCCATCCCAATCTCTTCTGTAAGTTTTAGGGATTCCTTCCTTGTGTCAGCAACCCCAGCTCACCTGCCGGAAGGATCATATTACTTGGAATCCCTACAGCCTGAGGGTTGAAAGGAGGAAGAGTGAGAGACCCAGTCCTTCCCAGGTGACCACTTAACACGTAGCGTTCCCACTCTGTCCTTGAACTCTTTTGTTGATGAAGAACTCATTACTCCCAGAGCTTGTGCTTTATGTGTCCACGCTGCTTAATTAAGTACTGACTCTTAAGGCTTAGGATGCCCAGTCACCCTAACATTCTATCCCATTCTCAAATTTCCCATTGGGAAAAGTCCTACCTATGACTCCAAACCCCACACACCCATTCATGATGGATGTAAATCGTTTCACCTATAACCAAAACTGTAGTTGTTGGGTCACCTTATCTCCCTTCCGGATGGAAGCTCCTTAAGTAGTGGGACCATGACTTTTTTATTCTTTATCTTAGCCTTCTGGCTCTGAGATACCAGGCACTCTATAAATATTTGTGGTGTAATTGGTGAATGAAGTAGAACTTTATTGCATTTATCTACAATCCTAATAAGTCTCATATTAATAATTTGGCCTATCAACTCTTCTAATGTCTTGATTTTTGATAGAACTATAATATGATACAGATTTAATGAACAGAACATTTAAGACTTCACCCATATCCACAATAAAATTGATAAAACAATAGGACCAAGTACAATTGATGGTTATCACTACTACTATTAGTATGTTGTGTACTACTATCCCGCACTTAGTTAAATGTTAAGAGGTACCAGCAAATAAACTGAGCCCCTTCCATATTTAATTGTAGATAATTGTCATAAAACGCATGAATGAGATTCTACCACTCTAATTGTACAGATGAAGGAAATGAGACTTAAAGAGACTTACTGAATAGCTACAAAAATGTGTTTTCTTTTTTTTATTTTAAAGAGTAAAAGAAGGTAACATAATAATGAGGGGGCTTACCAAATTACAAACATAGTGGTAGGAAATTATCAATGGTTATTGTTTTACATATTGTTATCTACAAGATAGTTTCTCAGGAAAACAAATAGACAAATAATAGTGAGTTACAGACAAAAGAGGTAGGAGATTATCAAGAGTTGTT